GACCAAATCGAGGCTATTTGGATCCATCTTACAGATTGCAATATTTTCATCTGCTGTTTCTACAGATCTGAGTTGTTTAGTCCTCTTGACAAATTTTTAGATTATATGACAGACTGCATGATGAGTATAGGAAGTAAGAATGTTATTTGGCTGGGTGATGTAAATGTAGACCAAAACAACATCAGCAGTATGAACTATAAGAAATTAGACATTACAATGAAAATGTTTGGAATGGTACAGGTAGTTCAGGATATTACCCGCATTGCTAAACTAGGAAACAGAATCACAAAGACCACAATCGATGTTGTCATAACAAACACTTACTCCAAGTTTCTTGACTGCAAAGTCCTTGATGATTGTATAGGAGATCATCAGGTCGTAAAGTTCATTGTCGATTTCAATGTGCATAAGGCCTCAAAATTCAAGAAGTTACTAATAAGAGATCACAGCAAAATGAATGTTACTGCTCTTAAAGAATTTTTGGAAACCTGTGATTATAGACCAATAATAGATTCAACTAGTCTGAATGATGCAGTTGATGGTTTAAACGAACATATTGATCACTACTATGATCACTTCTGTCCAATTAAACAAATTAAGTGCCATAGTGATTACATCCATAAGCCATCTCCAGAATTTTTAGAAAGTAAGAAATTGAAAGGGAAACTTTACCGTAAATTTTTAACACACAACAAGAACAGACGTATACATCCAAATGGTCTTATACACTGTAATAAATGTGACTCATTATGGATGGCATATAAACGGCAGAGAAACTATTCAACCTATTTGTCTAGAATTAATAGGAAGACTAACTTAGCAACAGAACTGAAAGCCAAGTGTGCCATGAATGATCTAAAGGGTGTATGGAAAACGATAAAGACAGCATCAAATCTGCCTGTTAAAGCTAACAATATCAATAACAATCTTGATGCTGAAACCACCAATAAATATTTTGCTGAAATAGGTCCAAAGATCCAAGCAGAAGTGCAGCTGGAAAATGAAAATGAATTTCTATCTTATCTACAAAATGAGCAGATTGACAACGAGACCAGCTTGAATAGCTTTACTGAAATAACTGAGTCCAATATCTTAGACTATGTGGCAAGTATCCCTTGTAGCAAATCCACTAATGATCATATACCATTGAGAGTGTTTAGACAAATTTTACCTGCATTTATTGCTCCATTAACACATCTTGTAAATTTGAGTTTATCCAGTGGCATCATGCCAAACAGCTGCAAGGTTGCAAAAGTCACCCCAATCCATAAGGATGGTGATACTGAGAATCCTAGTAATTATCGACCAATCTCAATTTTACCGATTCTTGGAAAGTGCATCGAATTTTGTGTGAACTCCCAACTGACTCAATATCTTGATGAAAAGGGAATACTTTCAGAGCATCAATATGGTTTCCGTAAAGATCACTCTACAACTTATCTCATGTTAGATCTGTTTGATCGTATATTTACTGCTAAGAACAGTGCCAAGCATCCTGCAATTATCTTCCTGGACATCAGAAAGGCATTTGATACTGTTAACCATGATATTCTCATTCAAAAGCTGAAGCATTATGGAATAAAAGATACTGCATTGAGCTGGTTTAGGAGCTTCCTCACAGATAGATTACAGCAAACTAGAGTTGGGAGTAGGATAAGCAGTTTACATTCATTGAACTCTGGAGTGCCTCAAGGAAGTATATTAGGACCAATTCTATTCAGCATTTTTATCAATGACCTGCCTAATGCATGCCTATTTTCTAAACCTTATCTATTTGCTGATGACGGTGCATTATATTTTGACAATATATCTAGAGGAAACTATGGTAACATCAAACAAGAGTTGAAATTAGTTATCAGATGGCTTCAGGCTAATAAACTATCCCTGAATAATGAAAAAACAAAACTAATGATCCTTGACTCTAAGCCTAACCTTGATGCCATCCTTGTTGAAATTTGTGATGACCTTACTTTGGTAATCTGTGAAACTAAATCCCATAAGTACCTTGGACTTATAGTTGACAGCAGATTGACATTTAATGAACATATTGATAACATTAAGAAAAAGATATCCAAAAGAATTGGTGCTATGTATAGATCAAAAAAACTTCTCCCTCTTAAGTTCAGGAAGATGTTTGCTAATGCACTTATGTTGCCACATTTTGACTACTTAGACACCATCTGGTCAAGAACATATAAAAAACGACTAGGAGAGTTAGATATCATGTACAAAAAGGTTGCTAAAATAGCCCTAGATGTAAACATCAGAGAGAGGTCGGTTAATGTATACAAAAATATGGGATGGCTTCCTCTCCATTTGAGACGACAGGTTCATCTTAGCTCATATATGTACCGTATAATCAATGAAACATGTCCAAAGCATTTTATCGGGAAATTCTCGTATATTTCTGGTGGATCACGTGAGGCAGAAAACTGCAATCTTTATACTCCTAAATCAAGATCTCACAAGGAGTTTAACTATCTAGGAACTAAGGCCTGGAACATATTACCAAAGTCCCTTACACAGTGGGCTACCATGCTAGCATAGGCCTAAAATCGACTTTCTTAAATTTCTTTGAAAATAAGCTTTCCTTATTGTAAAACGCTAGCCCGATTTCATGCAAAAAACCGTAATTAAAAACTTTGCAAGATGCCAAAATGGCGTCGCGTGAAAAAATAGCATTTTTCACTGTCAAGAAATTTTGCCTTTTTTAGCCAAAAATTGCCTAATATTTATTATTTTGGGCTAAAATGCCTGATCAAGGCAGTTTTTAATAATTGAAATACAGTATAGTACTTAAGAATACTCAGCCATCTAAAAAAAACTGTGTGACTTTAACATTTTCACCTGATTTTTGACCGCGCCTTTTTTATGGCGTGTATTTTAGGCAATTTTTGGGGTATTTAACGACAGAAATCGTTGTTGGTTTGCAATAGTTCGGTATAATGCATGGTATCATCAGAAAGCTTAGACAATTCCCTATCAGATGCAATAAGAATCACTTTGGGAACTTTTGGGGGAACTCTGTTTACAAAATTAAGAAACTCAAAAATTGGGTAAAATTTGCTGCATTTTTAGATAATTTATGAGCTCAATTTTGCTATTAAATTGACATATTTAGTTATTCTCCATGTTTGTGGCATTTTTTGCATCCTAGACCAGATGCATATGGATGAAAAATCAAAATATCACAATTATTATAGTTAAAATTGATAAAAATCCAAAAAATCGTGATTTTAAACGAAATTTTTGAAAATAACAGGAACAATTTTGGTGTTTCAGAAAATTTTGGTCATATAAATGGGCACAACTTTTGTTCTGATCAATATTTTTTCATAATTCAAAAAGATTTGAGTTCCTAAGATAGCTTCCTTCGTTTACAGTTCATAAAAGAGCTTTAAAATTGATTAAACCTCTAAAAAAACAACTTTTCCTGGGATCAGCCTCCTATTTTTGGACTACAAGATTGCTTAAAATCGGCCCAAAAATTTTTTCTGAGACATTTTCGGCCCTGTAAATGATTGGAATCGTATTTTTGTACCCAAATTACCTTAGAAACAAAGTTAGGGGCATGTGTGATGGTCTAAAATACCCTATGCTAGCATGACCCCCACTCACAGCCCACTGTGCCTTAGAGAGTGTGACGACGTTAAGAAATTTTCTAAGTTATACAAAGAAACTCTTATGAATATGTTGCTAACTGATGAGAATTACCAAGGGGATAACTCTTACGATAAATTCATGATCCCACCCAACACTAGCCAATGTATCTAGGCAGTTATGACTTATGTTATTTCGGTTAAGTTATCTCAGTACATAAGTGAATCCAATCTATCCCCTGCAATCAAAGTATTTCCATGCCTATTAAGCTATTACAGGAAATTAGGAACATCAGTGGAAAGGTGCACTGTCAATCATTATTGCTCCATACCTCCAGTCCTCCTGTTATGTGCAATTCTCACTGTATGCTCCTCATTTGTATCAATTATATTGATGCTACATTGTTATTGAATATGAAATAATTTTCAACCGTATTAATTTATTAACTTATTGTAAATAGCAAGTTTGACAAAGGGATTACGTTTATTTTACCCGGAGTTCGTTTAAGTTTAGTATTGTAAATAGTTAATTTGACGAAGGGAATACGTCTATTTTACCCTGAGTTATGTTTTAGTTCAATCTTGACACAATTTTAAAATTATAATTTAATTATTTTATATATATGTATTGTCCATAACTAGGGTGGCCTGCTAACAGAACCATGATCTGCCTTGATTCATCCTTCAGCACAGAGAAAAGCTCCTTTTTTTATACATTATGATTACAGAGGATCTGATATTTAGATATATATTGCTGTGCTGTAAAAATTGACTTTATTTATTTATTTATTTATTTATTTTTTTGAAATGTTTCCAGATCTCGTTGGTTGCCATATCAAATTCAAATAAAACAGTTTTTACACTCACAGGACACGACAGGGAACAACCAAGCACGTTAATCAATTAACAATTTGAGCAAATGAGCGATCAAATACAAACGCGGGGCGTGGATCGTGTGTTGTTTTGAAACTAATTATGACGTCATCAGTCATATAGTGTGTAAGATGACTTTAATCGTGATTTTACGGAATTTCGAACCTTTTGGAAATAATTTTTGAAGAAAAAAAATGATGATATTATCGGTTTATCGGTTAGAAATTATCGCCGATAACCGATAATGACTTTTTCACAAATTATCGCCGATAATATCGGTTGCAAACCCTAGTCACTGAAGCATGTTCATTTTTATTATTTCTTATCATCGCAGATTTATGACTTTGCGTTACTAAGATGATTTATGTAAGATTCTTTATAAACGAGTTGAACAATTTTTAGATATTATCGGTAAATTGTGATTGTTTACAATTACTACTACCTTGGCCCTTGCAGTTTTTGAAAAATTAAGTTATATTTGTTCAACACTAATTTGAAACCAGATTTTTATTTAAAAACAGACTTATTTTATAAAGCAGATTTTATCTGAATAGAATGTTATATATCAAGCAGAATCTGAATTCTGACATTGCAAATGGCATGTTATGGTGCAATTTTACTTTTATTTCAACTCATTTAATTTACTAACTCCATAATCCACAAACCAGTTCGCGAAATTTTCTGCTACTGAAAAAATTGTTTAAAAATCTAGAAAACATAATAAGATGGACTAACCTCAGTGCTCTCTAAGGTCTCGAACATTTTCTTTACGATTGGGTCAAGACATGGGTAAAGAGCTTCAGGACATGTAGATGATATTGCCGCAAACAAACTGGAGAAGGAAACAGTCAATATAGAAACAGTTAAAATAATAATATAGACAACCCGGTAGATATACGCATTACACAACAGTCAATATAGACAACCCGGTGGATATATACGCATTACATTATCTAGTATCTGGGAAGAAGGGTAAAATATGGCAATACGTTTTTTGGTCGAATCCAAAAACACGTGATATTAAAAAGTTGAGGATACCTGTATACACGTGATATTAAAAAAGTTGAGGATACCTGTAAATACATCGTCTAAGGTCTGGATCGTCAGCGGAGGACAGATTAGCAATACCAAGCTGCACGCACTCTGCTGCCATAGGGCTGAACGTTTCCTTTCCTGTGACAGAAATTTTGTTTTTTTAAATAACATCTTACATTTAACATAACTAAAGAGACTCAGAACAGATGCCGTCCGATCCTAAAGTAAGTCTACCAATAATCTTAAAAAGTGAAACTATTGCCCGAGACTTACCTATCTTTCTAGCAAACACACTGAGAGTGTCAATAGCCTGGGTCTTGAGCCTGATGCCGTCCTCAGTATCAGGGGCTGTCAGGTAAACTTTGAGATGCTCCATAACCTGTCCTAGGAAGGGGACAATAGCTTCTTCTGCTGCGTTACTCACTGCTCCCAACGCACTTATTGCTAGCTCCTTACCTGACAGGGGCTCCGTGTTAAAGTTATTACAGTGAATTTCAACAAATTTAAAAATAATAAGATACTAGACAGTAGACAAATTGAATTATTCGACTGAGCCTAGTAATTGAAAATACACATTAACAAGAAAGTATAAGTGTTAACCGTGAACAGTAGGGCTGTGAGCTATTAACAAGAAAGTATAAGTGTTAACCGTGAACAGTAGGGCTGTGAGCTGTCATAACAAGAAAGTATAAGTGTTAACCGTGAACAGTAGGGCTGTGAGCTATCATAACAAGAAAGTAAAAGTGTTAACCGTGAACAGTAGGGCTGTGAGCTGTCATAACAAGAAAGTATAAGTGTTAACCGTGAACAGTAGGGCTGTGAGCTATCATAACAAGAAAGTAAAAGTGTTAACCGTGAACAGTAGGGCTGTGAGCTGTCATAACAAGAAAGTATAAGTGTTAACCGTGAACAGTAGGGCTGTGAGCTGTCATAACAAGAAAGTATATAAGTGTTAAGGGGGGGGGGGGGGGGGGGGGGGGGGGGGGGGGGTTCACCCTGATTTTTTTGTGAAACTTAATTTCGAGATAGCAGTTGACCAACAAACTAGGACCAGTGACCGAACTTTTGAGGGGGTCCCGGACCCCAACCGCCAAACGGTGCCCGCAGGGCAGCCACGCCCATATTTGGTCCAAATTAGGCCCAATTTAGCCAAATACCCTGAACATGCCCAAAATCCAGAATTTAGGTGCTCTACTTGTAGCTAGTGGTCCCCTGAATTCGTATATGAATTTCCATCAAGATTGGACAAAAAATGACTGAGTTATGAGTAAAAAACCATATGACCATATTTGGGCATACGCACCAAATTTGATTGATTTTGGCCCATATATTGGTCAAATATCAATATTTTTGAATGAAACCAACTTTATATGGAAGGTAAGCCTATACTTCACATTCTCTATGATTATCAGCTCAGTACCCACCCAACTGTGGATTCTGTGTTCAAATAATCGCAAAAAATGAATAAAATTGCCCATATCTCGGTTCGCGATATTTGCAAAACTGATTTCGTTCAAAACAATAGAACTCAATAGGGTTTCAATATTTTTGCCTGAAAATTTCAGAATCAACGTAGAATCGCATTTTGACCTTAAGTTTTGAGACAGAATTTTGAGTTAGGCCTTTAAAAAAATTTAGCGGCCAAATTCCAAAATTCGCAATGCGAAATTCAGAATTTGGCCGCCAAATTTTTTTAAAGGCCTAACTCAAAATTCTGTTCCAAAACTTAAGGTCGAAATGCAATTCTACGTTGATTCTGAAATTTTCAGGCAAAAATATTGAAACCCTATTGAGTTCTATTGTTTTGAGCGAAATCAGTTTTGCAAATATCGCGAACTGAGATATGGGCAATTTTGTTCATTTTTTGCGATTATTTGAACACAGAATCCACAGTTGGGTAGATACTGAGCTGATAATCATAGAGAATGTGTAGTATAGGCTTACCTTCCATAGAAAGTTGGTTTCATTCAAAAATATTGATATTTGACTAATATATGGGCCAAAATCGATCAAATTTGGTGCGTATGCCCAAATATGGTCATATGGTTTTTTGCTCATAACTCAGTCATTTTTTGTCCAATCTTGATGGAAATTCATATACGAGTTCAAGGGACCACTAGCTACAAGTAGAGCACCTCAAATCTGGATTTTGGGCATGTTCAGGGTATTTGGCTAAATTGGGCCTAATTTGGACCAAATATGGGCGTGGCTGCCCCGCGGGCACCGTTTGGCGGTTGGGGTCCGGGACCCCCTCAAAAGTTCGGTCACTGGTCCTAGTTTGTTGGTCAACTACTATCTCGAAACCAAGTTTCACAAAAAAATCAGGGTGAACCCCCCCCCCCCCCCCCCCCCCCCCCCCTTAACCGTGAACAGTAGGGCTGTGAGCTATTAACAAGAAAGTATAAGTGTTAACCGTGAACAGTAGGGCTGTGAGCTATCATAACCACAAGAAAGTATAAGTGTTAACCGTGAACAGTAGGGCTGTGAGCTATCATAACCACAAGAAAGTATAAGTGTTAACCGTGAACAGTAGGACTGTGAGCTATCATAACCACAAGAAAGTATAAGTGTTAACCGTGAACAGTAGGGCTGTGAGCTATCATAACCACAAGTTTCTCCACGTTAATGGAAAATAAACATTAACAAGAATGTATAAGTGTTAACCGTGAACAGTAGGACTGTGAGCTATCATAACATTAACAAGAAAGTATAAGTGTTAACCGTGAACAGTAGGGCTGTGAGCTATCATAACCACAAGTTTCTCCACGTTAATTGAAAATAAACATTAACAAGAAAGTATAAGTGTCCCCCAAGTGTTAACCGTGAACAGTAGGGCTGTGAGCTATCATAACCACAAGTTTCTCCACGTTAATTGAAAATAAACATTAACAAGAAAGTATAAGTGTTAACCGTGAACAGTAGGGCTGTGAGCTATCATAACCACAAGTTTCTCCACGTTAATTGAAAATACACATTAACAAGAAAGTATAAGTGTTAACCGTGAACAGTAGGGCTGTGAGCTATCATAACCACAAGTTAATAAACATTAACAAGAAAGTATAAGTGTTAACCGTGAACAGTAGGGCTGTGAGCTATCATAACCACAAGAAAGTATAAGTGTTAACCGTGAACAGTGGGGCTGTGAGCTATCATAACCACAAGAAAGTATAAGTGTTAACCGTGAACAGTAGGGCTGTGAGCTATCATAACCACAAGTTTCTCCACGTTAATTGAAAATAAACATTAACAAGAAAGTATAAGTGTTAACCGTGAACAGTAGGGCTGTGAGCTATCATAACCACAAGTTTCTCCACGTTAATTGAAAATACACATTAACAAGAAAGTATAAGTGTTAACCGTGAACAGTAGGGCTGTGAGCTATCATAACCACAAGTTTCTCCACGTTAATTGAAAATAAACATTAACAAGAAAGTATAAGTGTTAACCGTGAACAGTAGGGCTGTGAGCTATCATAACCACAAGTTTCTCCACGTTAATTGAAAATACACATTAACAAGAAAGTATAAGTGTTAACCGTGAACAGTAGGGCTGTGAGCTATCATAACCACAAGTTAATAAACATTAACAAGAAAGTATAAGTGTTAACCGTGAACAGTAGGGCTGTGAGCTATCATAACCACAAGTTAAATACACATTAACAAGAAAGTATAAGTGTTAACCGTGAACAGTAGGGCTGTGAGCTATCATAACCACGAGTTAATAAACATTAACAAGAAAGTATAAGTGTTAACCGTGAACAGTAGGGCTGTGAGCTATCATAACCACGAGTTAATAAACATTAACAAGAAAGTATAAGTGTTAACCGTGAACAGTAGGGCTGTGAGCTATCATAACCCGAGTTAATAAACATTAACAAGAAAGTATAAGTGTTAACCGTGAACAGTAGGACTGTGAGCTATCATAACCACGAGTTTCTCCACAAGATCCGGCAAATAAGGCACAATGTTCTCTCCCATGTTCTCACAGAAGGACTCCAGAGCGTAGTAGGTTCGGGTGAGGGCCGCACTTTGGGTACTCATCTCCTCCGCGATCTTCTGACATAGAATCGGCAGGATCTGATAAATTTCAGTATAAATAGATTAATAAATAAAGTTAAATTTTACGCAGCAATTTATCGGTAAATGCTAGAGTCAGCTATATAATATGATATAGATGATACTGTAAAGGACGCAGAATCAGATCACTGTTAGTATGTAGTACACCTTACAGTATATTTGTGCGAGGCTAATCAACACTGCAAAGTAGTAGTTTTACTACTTCAAATATCCTTTGTTAGTTGTTTTAAGGGCTCCGTGATAGATTTTAGATGATTGACATAGTGGTTTGAAATGAGAAAAACCCCAAAAATGTGTGTCGTATTCGATCAATATCACACCGAAACCCATTGGGGTCGTTCACATATTACGTAATCAGCTGAGGGGGCCGGGGGGGTTTCGAATGATTACGCTAGTGTAATTTTGACTCAATAGCTATGTGTAAAACTGATTACGGAGGGGGGGGGGGGTAAAAATGTTCCAAAAAAATGATGACGTAATATGTGAACCACCCCATAGCAGGGTTAAAACTGTAACAATATTTACCTCATTGCTGTACTTGACGATATCGGGTTGGAAGTGCTCAGCGAATTGACCCAGAGCGTAGAGGGCAGCATTCCTTACTTCTGGAGCCTCGTCAGATAACCCATTTCCTGATAATCAGTTTCACATTCAATGCAAAATGTTGTGAAAATATGTGCTGTTATTACCTAATGCTAGCAGCACATTCCATAGTTAAACAACTCAGAGGTCTATATCACAAAACTCAAGACAGGAGTAGAAAATTAATCTATGACAGCACGCTGTACACGGATTATATCAACACCACCAAGACCAATTTACCGGCCAACTTGAGACAATCTTGCATCATGTGCTCCAGCATGTACTCGCATGTCCCTTCCGCTACCACAGCCAAGGCTGTTAATCCTGGAGTGAGAGTTTATTGTTTAACAATTAATACATATTTAAGCATGCAAAACTCACAATGGCAAGACGTGAAGATTGCATCACTAGAAGTGAGAACCTATTACGTCGCAGAGGCTACAATTGCGCCGCGCAAGCATGCGATTTAAAGCTATGGTTTAGCATTTTGCTTTTTACATCAACGATGACAAAAAAGCACACTATTTTTCGCGCAATTTTGTTCCGCGCAGCCGGGCATGCGGCTAGCTATGATGGTTGTAATCAGTACTGATTAGACGCTAGATAAGCCATTAAGTAAACCAATACCAATGAAACTTACCAGCTTTCCTCTCGAGAGGTTGTCCGGATGACATGAGTGGTAGGATGTAGTTCTTGTACAGGATCGGTACCAGCTTATCTGAAAAATAACGTAATTTATAAATTTCAAATTATATGTTTGAGTAGCAAAACCATATTACTCTAATAATATTACTCTAATATTACACGCATATTACTCGAAAATTTTTCTCTAACATGAATGATGAGCGTGATTATCGTGGCTTATCTGAACGAATAAGGATGTCCAGAGTTCAAGAGAGGAAATTTAATGATAATACTGTTTTAAATAAACAGAGATGATTAGACGAGATGATTAACAGCAGATTTCTCATGCTCAAATTGTTCGTGATCGGAGAATGGCTCATTATACTTTAAAAGAATGCAAAACGTGTACAACATAACGCTAGTCGCGATGAAGTTGAGTTCACAATTCAAGATAATTGATGATGTAATGATAACTAGTAGAATTAGATAAAATCTGTCAGGTATAAGCTTATAAGGCCTTGATTGGGAGGTTTGGTAGGATGATTAGATAAGTTCATGTGATTAAGTAAGACTGATCAATTATAACTTTGATGTAAAACCATTGCTTCTTTCACCGAAATATAGATCTGATCAATTACAAGATAAAAGTGGATTTTAAGAGATGTTTTGGGGCTTTATTACTTTCTACTAACAAGTAATTTGAGGCGAGAAATCAGCCCAGTAGCACCAATAGCAGTTCCCCCCCCCCCCCCCCCCCCCCCCCCCCCCCAGTCCACCATTCAAAGACCTTAAATATCAAATAAGGCATGCCAACCTTGATCTAGATTCTAATCAACTGATAATTGGTCGATAAATCACTCGACAAAATAATTACCGCTAGGCAGATGGAGAGCTAGAGTGTCCAGGACGCTTCCAGCAAAAGATCCAGGATTCTGAGACGTATCTTCATCTTCATCTATATCTGGACAAGCCATCAGAGGTAGGATTACATCAAGGATCGTGGTTACCAGTTGTAGTTTCTGTAATTGATTGGTTACTGATTGGTTACTGATTGGTTACTGATTGGTTACTGATTTAATTGAGTAGTTACTGATTTAATCATAAGCTCGTGAGAACATTGTCGATAATACATCTACGTACTAGTAACTATCTATCAAGTATTTTTTTTGAGTTCAAAAGAAAGACCACATCTTGTATTTGAACTAACTTGCAGAGCCTTCTTCTTCGTCGACACCAACCAACTCAAGAATGTCATGAACTTGACCCTGGTTCCATCATCAAATGCAGTGTTCTTAGTTACTTCCAAACAAAGTGTCAGAAGTGAGGTTAAATGAGGTACAATAATCGCAACCTCACACTCCAACAGAGAGTCGAATAGTTCGAATGAGGTGCACGCCTTATCTTCGTCCACGCCTGAGGGGTTTAAACGTCACCACGATACACTACGAGACACCACGAGACACCACGAGAAGACATGGTATCTGCCCGCACTTGGTGTGCATTTTCAAATTTAATAACATTTTCAAAGAATTATTTAAGAATATTTTTGCGAAAATAATGTAGACATTAGTAATCGTATTTAGACCTCTTACCAAGCAATATCTGTATAGCATTGATAGCATTAGGCAGAAGAACACCAAACTTCTGAGCATGGTTGGAGCCAAGGTAAGGAACGAGTTGACTCATGGCAACACATGTTAGATGCAGCACCTGTGTTTATTTAATGGATGAGAGTTTTTAGGTACAATCAAGTATCTTATAATAATAATAACTGTCCGTAAGATTAAACGACCTAATCAGTGGAGATAAGTGCAGTCTACAATTTTATTATAGTAGACCTCGTCTCAAACTTTTGAGAGTTATCAATAATTATTAATTAAGCTATCAATCTACCAGGCGGCCCAGCACCGACCACCCCTCTCCCTCCCAACTAAGTTCTCCTAACCGAAACGATTTTTGTAACTTTTTTTTTTTAATTTAAAAAAAGTCGTGCAAACCTCTGGCTGGTTGTGGTGAGAGAGACAGTTGGCGTATAGCTCGAACATGGAGTTAAAGTGAGGTTCCATCTCCACCCCCACAGACTCTGATACTACTCCCAACATGTACAGTCCCAGCTGGAGGGGAGTGTAATTTAGAACCTTGATTAAGACTAAAGTACGTCGAGTTCTTATATATTACACGGGCAATAAGTTGTGAAGAGAGTAAAATTAATTTATATGTTTTTTCCCGTTTGTTGCGAAAAGGCTCTTATCAGGAAACGAATTAATATACTTTAACTGATAACATGACTAAATAGCACTGGTTGCATGTTCAACATATTTAAAATATTCAAAATATTTTAAAATATTTAACATATTTAACATATTTAACATATTTAACATATTTAACATATTTAACATATTTACCATATTTAACATATTTAACATATTTAACATATTTAACATATTAACCAACTCACCTCCTTAGCAGGGAGGTTGTCACTGTAACAAGCCGCAGTGATGAAGTTGAGCAGCTCGGGCCACGAACTGAACTCGTGTTTGGTAATAACACAGATTACAGCAGTCACTGAGTTTCTCACTTCTTTTGTTACTTGACTTTGTAGAACCTGCCAGGAATAGGAATTAATTAGTTAATTAATTCATTTGATTAGTTAAATGAGATTTGGAGAAAAAAGCCTGGTATCTGTTACATGATCAAGTGTATAACACTGTTATAAATTTAACAGATAATTGGAGACTGATGAAGATTTGATGTTGATCATCGCAAATATTGGGAATATTTTATTACTTAATCTACCTCGTCTCATTTTTCGAGTACGTAACAAGGAAAGTTAGAATTTCTACCCAATCAGTAATATCTACATTCTTAAATGATCTGATTTTATAGGGCTACAGCGGGCTACACCAGCTATAATACACCTTAATACGATACACACGAATTTCTGAGCTACATACCAGAAAGAAAAGGGTAACTGAATTACACGCTAGACGTTTACAATGTATTTTGTACAGTTTAAGTCTTCACAAAGAATGGTAATTAATAATTGATTTGCCGGTATTGTAGGGTAAAGATACAGTTAAACTGCGAAGGCACAACACCAAACCAACCCTGCTCTATCTCCCAAAAACAACCTTCTCCTGGTCGGCCATGTCCCTCATCCTGCACTTGACCCCCGCAGAGGTCACAAGCCCATCGGAGCACAAATGAGCGAGAAACGGGGAAGCCTTAGCTACCGGGCCAAGGACTGCATCACTAGCAGCGAAATACGGATATACCCTCCCTTTTACATGCGTTCAACCGGCACCCGAACCACACGCTGTTTCTTAGACATAACTTCCCACTTACATCAGTGTCTTCTCGCATCAAATGGCATCGGCAAGTGGCGACACTGTGTAGACTCAACCCTGAGCTTGATCAGAATCTTCAGTCACAAACCTGACACCGTTTCGGGGCTTTCATTGCGATACGGTTTTCTGTCAGGTGCCCCAGCAGTCTCTCTTGGACCACCATCTGATCTGACAATCACCCGAGGATACCTGCTAGAGCTCGCGATTTACGACGAGTTAGCTTATGGCACCTCTGGCTGTTAGGTGAAGTCATAAAGCTCAAACAGCTCTCATCTCCCACTCTCTTTTCCTAGACAGCAGATAAATCCATCTTGAACAATGGGCTGCATCCTTCCCACAATCTCTGACCAACTTCTTGAGGGCTCTCCCAGTCAGACCAATCTTCCTTGATGCACACTCCAAACTTGCTGCGACTACACCTTTAGCACCAACCTCAACAGCAAAGCTGAAACATGACCACCCATTAGCTTGTATTTCCGCTTGTAGACTGTTATACCGATCAAGCTTCAGCTCATGGGATGCAGCTATTCTCTCTTCCGACGGTACTGTAAGCTCCCACCAGATTACTCTCTTGGAAGCTTTCGAGAAAAGAACCAAATCTGGTCTTAATCTGGTCGTTGCTATATCCGACGGGAATTTCAGCTGCTCATCCAGGTCTGCTAATACTATCCAATCAGTGGCCCCACTCAGAATCCCAAACCCACTGACTTTCGACCTCTTCACCTCCTTAAACCTCCCTCCTGCTGGGACAAACTCAATGGCTTTCCGAGTGACACACGAACTCTTCCTCTTGTTGACTCTCCGCTCACAATGGAATTTAACCTGGTCTGCTATTTGTTTAAGCACCTTATCGTGGCGCCATCGGTATCTCCCTTGACTTAGTGCCACAGGACAACCAGCCAGGATATGCGGCACAGTTCCCAACTTGTCACCACACAGCTTGCACATCCCATCCTCATCCTCGCTCCACTTGGATGCTAAAGCTGGTGTAACAAGCGTGCCATACACAGCACTAAGCAGAAAACCGATTAATGAGTCCCCATACTTGAAGAGCGTGTGCCAGCTCATGTCAGTCCTTGTCACCAGCTCTCTCCAATTACCCCACCTGGACTGCATCTCCAACGTACCCAACTGCACCTCTCTTTCCTTCCTGATGTTCTCCTTAACCCTATCCAACACCTCCCTCTGCTGCTCCTTTTCTGACATCTTCTCCCAGGGCTTCTTCCAATCACCGAAACCAATTCCCGCTCTACTAAGAGATTGCACCATACCTCGCACTGACTCACACACCAAGTCTCTTTCAGCTTCATGAAGCTGAGCATCTGCCTTCCAAACTCTCCCAGACCGCACCTGGGGTTGCACCGCTCTGATCAAAGCATCCTGAGATGTTTGATATGACTGCAAGAGACGGCACTTTTCTACTTTCCAAGTGTCGGTTAGGCTGTCGATGGGGAGAGCAACACTGGATGAATGACTAAACAGGCAAGAGCTACTAAGCGTGTGTCCCACTCCTAGCCATTTTCTGAGAAAAAGAAAAGGGTAACTGAATTACACGCTAGACGTTTACAATGTATTTTGTACAGTTTAAGTTTCTACCCAATCAGTAATATCTACCTCGTCTCATTTTTCGAGTACGTAACAAGGAAAGTTAGAATTTCTACCCAATCAGTAATATCTACATTCTTAAATGATCTGATTTTATACGGCTACAGCGGGCTACACCAGCTATAATACACCTTAATACGATACACACGAATTTCTGAGCTACATACCAGAAAGAAAAGGGTAACTGAATTACACGCTAGACGTTTACAATGTATTTTGTACAGTTTAAGTCTTCACAAAGAATGGTAATTAATAATTGATTTGCCGGTATTGTAAGTTTACATATATAAATTAGTCGTTGAAGCAGTTTCGACAATTTGCCAGTCGATAACCTCCTCCAATATTATTAAGAAATATTCAGCGAAGCTACCTGCAGGCAGATGGTCTTGATTCCATTCTTCAGATCGTTATCAAGTTTTGACCAAATTCTTTCAATCTTTTGTCGCAGTATGGTGGCTGCATACTGTCTTATCGTGTTGTTCTCCGATGTGCTGAGTATTTAGTAGTTATTAATTTCTAAGACTATAAAATAGACTTGATATATAGACTATTATACTTCATAATTAGATTGTTAACAAGCCAGAATATTTCAACCAGGAGCAGGAGGTCTAAAAATATCAAAAGAAATCTACACACTGTGCTTATCTTTAAATACGTTGATCTTTTTTAAGTCTCAAATATCAGCACACAGCTAATATTAAGTCTTAACATTTTACAGCCTACAATTTTGTGTTCAGGGTGTATAATGTAAATAATTGGGGTGAAATCTCCATTTTTATAGTAAAATTGAAGAAACAATTAATTAATTAATTAATTACCTGAGAATTTGACACAGAGCAGGTACAATGGCAGGGTCCTTAGAAAACTCCTTGAGTTTAACCGTTGCTGCTTGGATAGCATTGCTGTCGGGGACCAACAGTTGGGCGATAATTTGCTCAAGCTGTGCTGACATCTCTACTCTTCTACTGATAGGAAGAATGTGAGACATGTGAAAAATGTGAGAAATAAAATATACGAAAATATAGAAAGGGAGCAAATAAAATACAGCCTTGTAATTAAATTACTATTATCATTCTAAGATTGTATTATGAAATACTATACGATCAGCTCATTATGATGGCTATTTATTTTCAAATAAATAACTCAGCATTCCATTCATTTATTATCAGTAACGATCAGTAACAGAGCGTCCATCAAAACATTTTCGATCATAGCTAGAAGATAGCGCAGGTTCATTTTGACGGATTTATTTTTTAAAAGAAACTTTTTTCATTTTTACATTCAGAACCAGCTCCAGTTAAGAGAGTTATGAGACAGAATGAATAGAATAATGTAATTGAATAATTATAATGTAACAATAAAAATAATGTAATTGATAAATTGAACATAGTCATAAATACGTTAAAAATTAAAACTAAAAATACGCTAAAAATCTATAAATTTTAGTCCAATGAAACGGTACTGTTACAAATATGTTAAATACCTTATCGAATTTTACTTGGTCGGACATTGCATCGACGCTAAGGGGAATTTCAGCCCAAATGAAAGTGAATAATTATTTTCAACCAAATTTATGTCCACGTAGTCTCTGCCCAAATAAGGTCCGATAAGGTAAATGGTCAACATAAACTACATTCTAAAAATTTAGGAATTTCTGGAAGACAAAATACAAATAAATTACTACGGAAAATAATGCGTCATGGCTGCACTTAAGTCGACATTACAACAACTAGCCAGCTGTACTGTGTACGCCACACAGTCTGAAAGTTCATCCCCCAAACATTGATCAAAAGTTGTCCCTTTTTTCATGATAAAAAGCTCAATCACTTCACCAATTTCCCCGAACAAAGCTAAAGTCAGATTACGGGAATGCTTATGGTATTTTTGCCACTTTCTCTCTTCTACGAAAGATTGCATTGCCATGGCAGCACCACCAATTGTTGAAACTGTTTGATATGTATGGACTGACTCTAAAGCATCACTAGAGGGGAGGTTAGGCACTTTGCCTTTCATTTCGTTATATTTGATGAAAATGCCACTGCTACTACCAACTGGATATTTTGCTCTATTTTTATGCATTTTCTTGTTGAATGCATCTGAAAAAGAGATCTTGTGAACTTGGGCGAGAGTTCTTAATACATTGATTATCATGGAAAGCTGGTTGCACAGATGTGCATGCTTTGCTGGGGAGAAAACAGTTTCTGTACCATCTGTGTCCCACTGGAATATTTCAGCGATCAGTCCGATTGACTCCATAAGCTTACATACTAGATTATCAGCTGATACTTTCAAGTCGTTCACTGGCTTATCTAGAAGATAATCATGGCCAGGGGTATCTGCATCAAGGTAAAAATTAGGGAGATCTGAATATCGACTTTCGATAACATCATCCTTTGTTAATCTTCCAATGTGCTTAGAATATTTTTCTGCGATCATAGCATTCTTATCTTCCAATAATTTCGGTAAATCATACTCATACTTCGAAGCAATGACAACTACATGACAGAAAACTTGTTTCAAAATCTTGTCAACAGTTTGCTGCTTATCCACAGAAAAATTCTTAAGATTCTTTTCAACAGTTATCCATTGAAAAACATCATTCAGTTTGGAAGTAGAAAAGCACAGGCTCAGGAAATCTTTCATTATGCTAGTCTTCTCAGAAATCCTAACAGTCTGATAAAAGGCTGTTACTTCAATCTCATTCCAAGCAACATCAGAAAAACTAGAAGACGGTTTACTATTTCTGCATGAATCAGGGATTGCAAGATCAACTTGACATTCCTGTGCTAAACATATCAGGTAACTGAACACATCAGAAAGCTCACACAAAACAGTTTCTACTGTAGGGTCTTTTTCCTTGCTGTCTGCGGTATTCTCAACATTAACTTCTTCATCCTCTTCATCCTCTTCATTGTCACTGCAATCTTTAGGGTTAGCAAATCCTTCGTTAGCAGCAACATCAGTAGAAAGTTCTCCTAGTTCACCAACAAGGGCAAGAAACAAATTTCTTGCAGTTTGCCATGAACCCCACTTCATTTTCTCATATCTGAATATCTCACAATCTTTTCGAAGTACCTCGATAGTAGGGTTTGTGCTAAATTCAAACATACCTGAATTCTAATAGAAAATTATAATATATACAAAGGAGATTTAAATAATAAAACGATGTGCTTAAAGATCATTTTAGAAACCTTAGACTATTTAACCAATTTCGTTTTTGGGCCAAGAACTATTACATAATGTGAAAACCATCAGAGACCATCAGAACCAATCTTCAGCCCCTAGAACTCCAGAAAACTTTTGGAAAACTCTGAATTGCCGAAATATGATGTAAGTAACAATTTTTACAGCTACAGGAGCTTTTACAGAAGCTATTACAGGAGCATAATGGCATCTCACCGAATTGTGTATACTAAATTTATAAATTGTCTATTCTATTTTGACAAGTTCCATTAAGCATTGTACACTTGAAAATATAACTTTCAAGACTTGATGTAAAGCAACAAGTTTTACAGGAGCTGTCACAGAAGTTTTTACTGAAGCATAATGGCATCTCACCGAATTGAGTAGACTAAATCTATATTATATGTCTATTCTATTCTGTTTGATTTAGCATTGTTTATTTTTTTTGCTAGTGCTACGTGTTGAACATAATATGACTTTCAAGACTTGACTTAAAGCAACAAGTTTTACGGGAGCTTTTCTAGGAGCATAATGGCATCTTGCTGTGAAAAGTACAACTGCAAGCCTCCTTCTTTCTTCGAGAGGCTATTCCAGAAATCTTCCCCCAAATTCCAAACTCAGGAATTAAAGAAATGTCTGAACATTTTCGATTTGACAGTGCAGGGACTGGCTCATATTGTGGGAGCGGGAATATTTATTATGACACCAGGAGTTACAAAGATGGCTGCTGGACCTGGATTGGTAGTATCTTATCTCTTAGCTGCAGCAGTTCTCATATTTACTGTTCTAGCTTACATGGATTTGGGAGCTAGATACAAAGGTATCGGGAACGCTTATGTATATGTGTATGCTGCTTTGGGTGAATTTGCTGCTGGACTTGTGGGAACGTTCATTATGACGGAAATTGCTCTTGGCGTTGGTTTGGTGGCCGTGGGATTTGGACAGAATATGGACAAGTTTATCTTTGAGGGTAATGCCCATAAACTTCAAGTTGAGTATTCTAGTACTTTTCTTCCGGATTACTTAGCTGAAAATGTCAACTTGTTGGCGATTGCTTTAATCTTGTTTTGCTGTATCATCAACTGTATTGGAGTCAAACATGTTGCTATTGTTAATACCATCACAGTGGTATTTAGTTTTGTATCTCTGACCATGTACTGCATCGTTTCATTTACGTATGGCAGTAGCAAAACATTCACCAACTCCACAGACCCTGAAACTGGAAGAGGAGGGGTGTTTCCTTATGGATTTTCAGGTGTCATAACTGGAGCGGCTGTTGTGGTTGTTTCCTTTGCAGGTTTCGAAACTGTGGTCAGCCTTTCAGCGGAAGCAAAGAATTCTAAAAGAGACATACCTCTTGCAACAGGTTTAAGCTTCGGAATCTCTGTTGCATGTTATCTACTAGTAAGTGCTGCTATTTCCTACCTGGTGCCTTGGTATACCCTTAACGAAAGTACGGGTATTCCTGGTTCTCTGCAGGCACACGGGCTCACAATCCCCAAGTACATTATCGTAGCAGCGATTCTTTTTGCTTCTGGAAGTGTTGCTCTGTGCTCCCTAACCACCCTGGCTCGAGGGCTCATGGTGTTCTCCGATGATGGATTGATTTTCAGTTGCCTTGGTTTGGTGGCTGAGTGCTCTAAAGTACCTATTATTGCCACAGTCTCTGCTACAGTTGTGATAAGTTTCTTTACAATAGTGTTCTCCTACAAGATCCTAATTCATTTGGTCGCAGGAGGGGCATTGATTACTTTTGCAGCAGTGTGTCACACTCTCGTAGTTATTTCTTACTCCAAACAAAAGGAAGTTATTGATGAATCCTCTGAACTTATTTTAAACGAATTCGTGGTGAATGAAGAACAGCCTTTAACGTCCCTGAATCAGCAGGACATTGAGACTCTCGAGTCTCAGTACATTGAAAATCAAGAGTTGAAAGTGGTCAGTTGGATGGGTATTATCATAGTTATTTCTACGCTTTGCATTGCATTTATTCACTGGCCGAGCTCATGGCACTTCTGGAAAGTTCGTCTTCCAATCATGATAATACTAGGGTTCATGAACATACTGATATTAATCTACATTAAATCCACCTACCACATCCAGCCTCAGAAAAATCCTGGTTTTGTGTGTCCTGGAATACCGTTTATCCCAGCAATTGGTCTATTTTTCAACCTGGTTTTGTTCAGTTCCCTTGATGTAATGGCACATCTGATGACCGGCGCTTACTTTGCTGTTGGGGTCTTGATGTATTTAGGCTATGGATATTTCCACTCAACTATAACGTTAAAGAAAAAAAAAGAACTGGAACTAATTCCGAATGATGGGACTGACAAAGATATGGACTAATGATAAAACTCTGTAAGGCTAAGACTTATCTGTATCTGAGAGATTCTTTCTGTCCTTTAAATATAAAATGATAAAATGATTTCTCTTCAAATGTCTTCTAAACTTATCTGAGTTTAAGCTGACTTTTATAAGAAACAGATGAGCAACAACCTAAATTATGATTGATGCAGTTGGTGGAAGCTTTTTCCCAGTTCAACTAACAATTAACATCTAGGTTCTGCTAAACTGTTGGCATATTATTCAGAATATTGCTGTAGTTTGCAGTAATTATCATTTTTCCAGTAGAGTATAACAACAGCAGATTTGTGAGTTACCTAGCTTGCTAGTCTAATGCTCACTACCTTAAATCGGGATATTTTGAATTAAATTTAGATGAAAACACCACCTTTAATCGTAGGATAAGTATTTTCAGAATTCTATAGCATTATACAATGAGGTACCAATTCAATTACCTGGGGACTTCAAGCTTTGACGTGAAAACTGGCCACGGGCCTAAATATTACATATCAATCAATTACAATTTATTAATATTACCAATATTAAAAACTATCGAAAATATTCAAGAAAGTATTCTCTAGCCAAAGGGCTCAATATTTAAATCTAAATCTTCAATATTGTCTGGTTTATATCGCAACTTGGGCCCTCTGTCCCCCCTTATCGAAATAACCGTTGTCTTTAATACCTCAAAGCGCAAGCGCTTTCTAAGATATGTAACTGAGTCTGAATAACGCTGACCCGTTGGAGATTCCATCTTTTGTTGGAGATTTCCATATTTTGTAATTCTTTAAATTTTGTTTTCCTCTTCTGTTCATAAACAGATAGAAGATATGGCGGAATGACAGGCTGAATAGAACGCTGCCCAGTATCTACTTAAGAAATTTGTAAATCTTATTACATATTAGCTTTCATTGAAATGCAATCTTTAGAACTTTCGTAGATTTTTCATTTTAACAGAGCGAATTTCGTGTATGTTTTGATAAATTGAAAAGGCTCACATAACCATTTGCTTTCGCACCACTGCATGCAAGCGCAAGGGCTTTGGTACGTTAGAGTATGCAATTGTAGACTTAATCTTGTGTTGTGTTCAATTTCATCTTTATTACTATTACTAGCAACTTATAGTTCATGCTTTGTTTTACTAAAATCTATGGTATTAATTTGCTCTAACCAGAGGAATTTGTTTCCCTTTGAATCAATCAAACTAGATAAATTGTTGTAAATACTGAGATCAAACTATCAATCTACAGGCTATCGTCAAACATGTTGCAAGGCGTCATCTTCAGTGACATAAGCTCTAACCAAACTAACCTTTGCGCTTGCAGTGGTACACACTTCCATATAACCATGCGCGAAGGATCTGATCATAGCTTAACGATACTAAATACTACTATTTATTTCAAACCGTCGACGAGTCCAACTAGACTCGGCGCGCGTCCTGGTACGTTATAAACCTACAGGTTATAGCAAGCAGGAAATTACCTGAGGACCGCAGGCTTTAATATTGATAACAATCGAATAGAGATTAGGCGGAATCACACGCTGTGCGCTGAGCGCAGCCCAGTAACCCTAACTCCTGAGTTGTATTTCGTCGTGACCCCCACGGTCGTTTCAATCATCATTGCAGAGTTTCTACGATACAGGCAACAGGGGAGCCGTGCACTCGTGCGCGGCGGGTATTGTATGACAACTTCTGAGCACTGAGGGTGTGAAATTAATTAAGTTCGGCAAGCAATAATTAAGCGCCCGCATAGGCACAAAAGCACATGGCTAGGATAGTTGTAGCGCGATGCACTACTGGGTCGCGCCGCGCATCAAATAATTCTTCTCGCAACCACCGTATGCAGATCGGCAAGATGCGAAGGATTGACATCGTGAATCAACTAGGATAGGTGAAGTATTAATTATCATTCGGTTAGTAATTTAATCTGTCGGCTATGATCACAGTCCGTGTTGTTATATTATCTTGCTTACTGGGCCGCGCTCAGCGCGCCTGTCATTCCGCTTTTTTTTAAATGAAAATCTTTTCAAAATTTACATACAATATAACATGTGGCGCAAAATAAAATCAAAGTATAACTGATTGCGATCTCTAAAGGACAGATGTATGTGAATTTCAAAGAGAAACCAGAACGCAGTAAAAATGTAGTCGAAACCACACCGCACAAGCCTAGTCCCTGGTAAATGAAAATCAATCAAATAATATGTTGATAAAAAATCATTGCTCTAACCAGAGCCCTCTTACTGGGCCGCGCTCAGCCTGTCATTCCGCCTAATCTCTATTCGGTTGTTGTTTACCAACATTAAAGCCTGGGGTCCTCAGGTAAGAGCCCTCTCGCTTGCAGTAGTGCGCGACCGCCGGAGGCGGCAAATCCTACTTGTGAAACAAGCGCGTCACGCAGTACGCGTAGGCACATGGCTATGTGAAAAAAATCATATTCCTAATCTCTATTCGTTTATCACCATTAAAGCCTGGGGTCCTTAGGTAAGAGTTAGGGCCCTTTCAAATTTTTAAAATTTTGTGCGAGCGATTTCAGATTTAGTGGGAACGACTATTTAGTAATAAGTGTAGTATTTAGTATATATTAGGCAGTGCGCCATCGACCGTAAGACGCACGCGCTGACCCATGACCATTGACTGGTTTTTTAGCTCGTATTTCTGATTTCGGCCCGCAGCACATTATTTTGGAAACAATCAAAAAGTTATGATACTTCCTTGATCACTTGATACATGTTTCGTATCCCAATATACGGCGGCGCGCGCTTCGCGCGCGAAAAGTGGCATGCAACGTATGTCAAATACTTCCCATATAACAATTTTGTTGAAATTTGGTCAGCTTACGTAAACATTTGTAGCGCGATGCACTACTGGGTCGCGCGCGCATCAAATAATGCTTCTCGCAACCACAGTAGTGTGCAAACCAACATTCGAACCACCAGCAGCTGGTGGTCAATTTCCTACGAACGCGACTTAATTTTGGTTCAGACTGGAGTCGAGCGCTACGTTATAGCTGTATATATAGCTCGTTTCACGACGAAATCTTCATTTATTGAGTTTGTCTGTCGATTAAAATAAAAAAACAAAATACAAACTCCAACATAATTATGTTGGAGTTTGTATTTTTAATTTTGTACTCGAATACTGTTAATTTATTTTTATTAAATAGTTGTTTTTCGTAACAGCACACTAGTACGTGATTCCTTTTGTTATTCTTACATAATTAGGAAGATTTTAAACTTCAATACTATAAATAATCAAATATTTACGAACACCGATCATCGGTATGTACCCATTATGCATTATTGGTATCGAAGTCTTATGTTGAGCTAGATATCGAAAAATTTCAAAATGTAAGGCTGTAATTTTGTACTTGTTTAGGTGTAGAACTAGGATTAACAACTTGATTGCTAGGAGCTAGGAAGAGATTTTAGTAATGATGACCCTTTAAACTTAAACTATATCTCTAGTGCACTTCGATCGGTTTTCTTTTCAATTTTGATAAAACCTAGTCGTGATCTTTGTTTCAGAACTTCACTAATTTATTAAGTTTTGTAGTTTATATAGACGGAACATGAGCAGATACCATTTGATTAATTATAATATATCCGATTTGAAATATTATTCTGTCGGAGTTTGAGTTCAACATGGACACATTTATTAACATCCCGCATGAATTTGTGTCGTCTTTACAATTTTTTGCGCTGAATTTGTATGCTTATTAATACTGCCGCATGATATCAGTAGCTGCTATAAAACTAGAGTGTATAGCATGTGTATTATACGATGTTTCCCACGTAAAAATCGCAGGTTGTTTTGGTGCGGCTGGGCACTCTACTGGTGATTGACACCAGAGACTGAGAAAAACTTTGACATAATTTTCAAGTTTGATATGACCTAATAACTACCACATTTACAGGAAGTATGGTAATACATTCTTGTCAGCTGTCTGGACAAATCTTCTCTCGCAGAATTGGATTAAAATTTAATGTATTTTATTTCTCACTTCCAACGATGTCGCAATTATTAGGTAAAATTTGAAGTTATTTTGAGATTCAATTAATAAATTTTAGATTGCAGCTTGATATCACTTAGTATGTACATTGTACTCGGTTGCAAGGGTAGAACTTATGAGAATACTATCATAGTATTATTGCACTATACTATTATGGGTTCATCAAAGTTCGTATCATGATTTGTCACAATTAAACCATCGAGTCACTTGAGGAAACCCGTTAAAGCTCGCAATTGGCGACGAGATAAAGTTTGTGGTACCTCTAGATGTTAAGTTAACTCTTAGGCTCCAATCTTCCTTACTATACCTACCACTCCTTCTTCCTTGATAAGAAGTAGATCCATCTGGAACAGTGAGCTGCTTCTTCCCTTCTATCCCGTACTAGCCTACTCAGCTCTCTCCAAACCGTGAACAACTACTCCCGGTGCTAGAACTTTAACCGCATAATTATAACAGCACAATTCTTTCGCTTGAATCTCAGTCTGCTGTAAGACTGCTGTACCGGTAGAGTTTTTACTTGTATGATTCAGCAATCTGCTCTTTAGATGGTACCGTTACCTCCCGCCATAAGACTGTGCCGTCTTGGTGACCTTGAGAATATCATAAGGTCCGATATATAAAAGCACTATCCAATATCGAGACCCACTCAGGATCCCAAACCACGACTCCTTTCGGTCGTCTGTACTTGCTTTTTTCCTCCCAGCATGGACTAAGTCAATGATACTGTCTTACATCGCTGGCCTTGTTCTTATAAGTGTTCACTCGGCGCTCACAAGATAACATGTTCAGAGATCTGTTGCAGAACCTTGTCGTGCCGTCATTTATATACTCCTTGACTAAGAGCTACTTTACACCTACAGCAAAAATGTGCTAAATGATACCCATCCTCTCCTCACATTACTGTACTTGCACTTACCATCCTCATCTTCGCCATAGAGGTGGTTAAGAGGGTGACGTACACAGCATCTAGCACGAATCCAATAAGTGAGTCTACAGTGCGTGTCGAAATACATTGCATGTACCCTTATATATTAATTGAGACAGAATTTTAATAAATCAACAAATTCTTAAAATTTAAAAAGGTAGAATTTAATTCTATGGCATTTATTGAAACCTGCTTTTTTAAAGTTGAGAATTGGTTTCAATTTCTAGAATATCACGATAATGTTGACTCAAAACTGTTTCAGGCAGCTATCAAGTCTCAAGATATGACATAATTTGATAGAATGTTAGTACCAACGCTATCAGTGCATTGAAGTCGAGTTCTCGATACAGGTATTATAATTAGGTTCTATCGACCGTTTTTGTAGTCTTAACTCATTTTTATTTGTTATTATACGACCAATTAAAACCTAGCAAACCAGACTTCTTTATGTGCTAAATGTTACTTTAACCTTAATAATAGCAGCATTGTGGCAGATATCCAGTTACATTTTTTCCAGCCGTATATTATAAATATACAGGGTGGGCCAAAAGTCAGTGTGCAAACGTTGGCATTAATAGCTCAGTCACTGAGTGCCCAATTGAAATAATTGGTTCTGGTATGACTTACTACCACCACTGGTTCGAGAAATTTGTCAAATCGAAACATATTTGTGTTCATTGTTTTCAAAAGAAGGTTCATTTTCGCATTTATTTGATAGTTTGGATAATCGGATCGAGCCAAATTTTATTGAATTGTGTTTAGCCATTTAAATTACGTTTGCTCTAAAAAAATGAGAGTATATATATATTACTCATGCAACTAAGATAAATTGAGTATAAATACTCAATTTATCTTAGTTTAAGTTCCAAGTTATATAACTCATTTTCTAAAGGTCTCGTAAACTTTAATCAATTACAGAGGGTGTGGCCTCTTTTTCACTGAAAAGACGCCATCAGATTTAATTGCATTCTGGGACCAATTTTGGTGTGATTTAAAGTATCCTACAAATTGGTGTTTACTGTTTCGACTTTTGTAAAATCACTGTAACAATATAATCTATATTCTTATAGTTTCAACCATAATAGTGAAATAGAGGGGCTGGCCAATAGCCACACCCTCTGTAATTGATTTAAGTCTACGAAACTTTCAGAAATTTGTGTGTAATTCGGAGATAAATTAAACAAGTTGTTATCGGCCACCATGTGTAAACGGAATGTTCTAGCAGACTGTATAATACTATAACATACATTTTCTTACACACACATAATCTAATCTCTGGAATGTTGCTATGATATCAATGGCAATGTTTTGATACTGTGTATTATCATGATTATGCCTTACAGGCCGATCTTCCGATGGAGTTTCGGTTGCCATGGCAACACATCAATATGATAAAGAATTTGTAAACGCAGTCACAACTCTGTCGTGTACACTGTACGGTGCGAGCGGTTATTTTATGATAGGTAACATCTACTTTTTCAGCATTTGCGGGATGACCAGTTCACACGTATATTTTCGCAGACACAACTTCGCATAAAATTATATCCAATTATTCTATAACCAATTATCTACACGGACTTCTGTCTAAATATGAATGAAATCGAGAAAACCAAATATTATATGTTTCATCCTGAAGTGCTGAGTTCTCAGGCAGTAAAATCATGATCCTGATAGATATCGAAGTCTCCTTAAATGATTGTCTCTGCTGCTTAATATATCTGGATTGTCGTTGGGAGGCGATGCAGATTTGTTTACTTTTAAGGGGGAGGTTCTGCTCAGCAGGAGAAAGAGGTGATGCACATTTTGTATTTGTCTGACATGTAGGACTTGAGCCACGTTTCCGTAAGTGCAATAAACGGTAACGAGTGGTTTTTGGATTTCTCCTGAATAAGAGCTGAGATTTTTGGCACTTCCCATATACTCGCACTTGATGCACAGGATTCATGGACTGGACATTTAAGACGAGGCATGAGGAATAACGGGCACGTGCAGTGTATCCTCTGAGGCGGTAGGAACTGCTGGTAGTGGTATAGTGGGTAGTATATATATATTACTCATGCAACTAAGATAAATTGAGTATAAATACTCAATTTATCTTAGTTTAAGTTGCAAGTTATATAACTCATTTTCTAAAGGTCTCGTAAACTTTAATCAATTACAGAGAGTGTGGCCTCTTTTTCACTGAAAAGACGCCATCAGATTTCATTGCATTCTGGAACCAATTTTGGTGTGATTTAAAGTATCCTACAAATTGGTGTTTACTGTTTCGACTTTTGTAAAATCACTGTAACAATATAATCTGTATTCTTATAGTTTCAACCATAATAGTGAAATAGAGGGGCTGGCCAATAGCCACACCCTCTGTAATTGATTTAAGTCTACGAAACTTTCAGAAATTTGTGTGTAATTCGGAGATAAATTAAACAAGTTGTTATCGGCCACCATGTGTAAACGGAATGTTCTAGCAGACTGTATAATACTATAACATACATTTTCTTACACACACATAATCTAATCTCTGGAATGTTGCTATGATATCAATGGCAATGTTTTGATACTGTGTATTATCATGATTATGCCTTACAGGCCGATCTTCCGATGGAGTTTCGGTTGCCATGGCAACATATCAATATGATAAAGAATTTGTAAACGCAGTCACAACTCTGTCGTGTACACTGTACGGTGCGAGCGGTTATTTTATGATAGGTAACATCTACTTTTTCAGCATTTGCGGGATGACCAGTTCACACGTATATTTTCGCAGACACAACTTCGCATAAAATTATATCCAATTATTCTATAACCAATTATCTACACGGACTTCTGTCTAAATATGAATGAAATCGAGAAAACCAAATATTATATGTTTCATCCTGAAGTGCTGAGTTCTCAGGCAGTATAATCATGATCCTGATAGATATCGAAGTCTCCTTAAATGATTGTCTCTGCTGCTTAATATATCTGGATTGTCGTTGGGAGGCGATGCAGATTTGTTTACTTTTAAGGGGGAGGTTCTGCTCAGCAGGAGAAAGAGGTGATGCACATTTTGTATTTGTCTGACATGTAGGACTTGAGCCACGTTTCCGTAAGTGCAATAAACGGTAACGAGTGGTTTTTGGATTTCTCCTGAATAAGAGCTGAGATTTTTGGCACTTCCCATATACTCGCACTTGATGCACAGGATTCATGGACTGGACATTTAAGACGAGGCATGAGGAATAACGGGCACGTGCAGTGTATCCTCTGAGGCGGTAGGAACTGCTGGTAGTGGTATAGTGGGAGCGCTGTTCCTGGCTGAAGAGGTGGATGTGGTCTGGGGTAGTGGTAGGGCATTTGAGTTTGAGGGAGGCTGGACCGGTGGTCGACTATTTCTGATAGGAGTCCGATCCTGGTTTGCATCGTTTCCAACAGTCTCCGTAACTATAACGATCCTGTGATCTGGTATTGGTTACTTAAACTCATTTAATTGAACATGGTGTTTGACGTTGGAGCTTATCACTTTACAGTTTACATCACCTTACCTGAATAATTGAATAGGATGAATACTGAATAGCATTTATTAATGCTTTCTTTACCCGGAGAACTCTGTTTTACTTGTCCCTCGGTAACACAAGACCGTGAGCCGTGACACTTAGTCACAATAATTAAGTCATAAGTCAGAAAGAAGTCCATAATTCGTACACCCATGATTATGTTAAATATAGATTGACTCCAGTCTCCATTGTTCAATGACTTCGTCAAAATGTTTTAGGAAAATGTTCACAGATTTGTTAATTTTGGACTCAAATTAACGTTGAGAAAAACTGAATTTATTTTGGAAAAATCCCGGCTAAAACCAAAATCCCGGCCGGTACCGGTACAAAATCGCCAAATACCAGCCGGTATTCCGGCTGCGCCGGTTATATCCCGGTCGAGTTCTGTCTGAGACCTAATTTTCTCTATTTCTCGTGCAATTTTAGATCAGACACAGTCATCTAAATTATTTAATAAGAAGGTTTAAATTATAAGCAATTAAAAACAGTTGGGACTATCATTGTTTGTGAGTACATATTATACGAATATAAGGTGGTTAATATAATTATAACACATTTAATATAAAACATTTAAGACACATTTTTTTATTCCTGCATTGTACTCATTAATTTAACTAGTAATATTATATAAAAACCACATTTCTATTTGTACAGGGAGCTGCTGGTAAACTACCGTCGCTATACATCGACTATGACTACAATCCTACTTTTAAAAACAAACTACATACATATCTCACATTTGCGAGGACTACTTCATCACAAGCAAAAAATCGACATTGGTAAATAAAGGTAGGTTCTTTTCACTGACTTCGTTAAATGAGTTACATATTTTCACACAAATTACGTGCGTGATCATTAAAGGGTTGCTTGTGTGCAGTTACTTCTGGGCCAGCGCCACCCTGTTGGGAGTTTTCACATAAGTAAATTTGCCGATAATACAATTTTACTCATTCTGGACATGTTACCTATATTATCATTATACTAGTATTTCTTCAGGTCTGTCTTCTATAACCACGATGAAAAGAAAAGCTGGGCGAAAACACTTGAGACTGCAGATTGCAGAACTGGAACACTCTATTTGAAGACAGTGGCTGCTGAGTGCTGAGCTGCATCAAATCTATCAGCATCATGTAACTTCGATCAGGAACAGACTCCATTTCATTTCCGACAACTAGCACCTGTTTTCCCTAGACTTACCAAGTATTAAGTAACTGCATTAGTATTAGGTTAAATTAAAGGCCCTACATCGAACAAGTCTAACAATTAAAACTTAAATGCAAGAGTGCACAATTTATCACTAAATATCTTCCTCTTTTAATTCTAATCAACACACGGTTTCGTCTTTGTTTCACCCAATCGTGCTGATAATCAGTAATCATGCACTCTGCACTCTAACTTCGAGATGTTTCAAAAGGGCTCCCGACGAGTTGAATTAGATCAATATTTTCTTTTGATACATAGATACTGATTGGGAGGTTCATCATACTATTCTTGTCACATGGTAACGATTAACGATTAGCTGATCAGCTTCCAGCATCGACAGGCCGAAATCCATAAATATAATCAGTTGTAATTTAATATTTATCATCGTCCGGATCATCATAATATTTTAATTTAAAGTTACAATTGAACGGTGTTAAGAAAGATAATTTAAGAGAAATGTTTTGAAAGTGCCTGATTTCGAGTATAAGATCTGTACTGATACATTAATTTTCAGATTGTTATTATAGTTTATTTGTATTTTTTATATTATCTTATCCGCACAAGTTCGGAAGCCATCTGAACGCTATTGCCAGACACAGGCATATATTTATTTTGGGGTATCATGCTCTCAGAAATTTCAACTCAGTCCGATATTATAGTTATACTAACCTGCATTGCATAAGGTTAATTGTCTCGCAGTCTAGTGCATAAACCTTTTATTTTGTATAAACTATAAACCCTTTATTTTGATTGGGAAAACTTTAGTTTAATGTGGTTACCGTCTCTAAAGTTGGCATGATAGTTAATAAACTCTTATCTATTATGTCACTGAAGATGACGCCTTGCAACATGTTTGACGATAGCCTGTAGATTGATAGTTTGATCTAAGTATTTACAACAATTCATCTAGTTTGATTGATTCAAAGGGAAACAAATTCCTCTCTTATCTATTATGACTATATTTAAATTCAATCCTGTAAAGTGATACTCCTTTTTTAGTAATTTAAACATGTGTTTTCTCCTTCTGATTTTTAAACTATTACCGGTCACGCTGAATAATAATGACATCAGTGAATTTAAAGCTATCGTTAACATCACTCAGAAAATGCGCGTCTTTAGCGCAGCGCGTGTCTTGTTGTTATGCATCAATCCTTCGGTAGATCGGCGAGATGCACCACTGTGCCTCACCGAGCTGCGAAGGATTGACATCGTGAATCAAGTAAACATTTACAGAACCTAAATTAGTTTGAGCAATTTCGATGGTCAGAATTTGAGTTATCAACGAATTTATACCTATTTTTTATTTGTAAACCTCTTAATCAAGGCCAATCTCTCCCAACTAAATTAGGTTCGGTAGTTAAGTATGATTGGAAGGTTCTGAAAAAATTTCAACATGATTCATGTTTGTAGCGCGATGCACTACTGGGTCGCACCGCGCATCAAATAATTCTTCTCGCAACCGGCCGTATGCAGATCGGCGAGATGCGAAGGATTGACATCGTGAATCAAGATTTAAGTTTAGGAACCGAAGATATGACAGAATAATACGACAAAAATCAACGAATTTCGTCAAATTACGCGACTTTTACACCTAATTTTGCTTGCTAAAGCCGAGCACCATCAAATATGGCACTTCTACCTGGGGACTTCAAGCTATCATTTAATTGACGATATCAATTCATGGCAGCTCGGCGCGGCACAGTAGCGCATTTCGCCGATCTAGCCAGAGAAGCCTCTGTGAGAAGCCTCATGAGTGCGCGGCGCGGCGCAGTAACGCATCGCGCTACAAGCTATCATGTAGGCGGAATGACAGGCTGAGCGCAGCTCAGTAAATGGCATCTAGGCGAAACTTGTATCACGTGGTGACCCCCAAGGTCGCATCACTAGATAGAGTTTAGACGATACAGGGGGAGCCGCGCACTCGTACGCGGCGGGTCATACAACGTATGACAAGGCGAAACTCACTGCTCATTCCAAAAAATCCAACCATTATGTTACAGCTCGAAAAGCGTGAACACCTTTCGTCCCATTTTCATCACTATATCAACTCCGATATTTAACATTTGTTGTATCACGTCGTGACCCCCGCGATCGTTTCACTGTAGAGTTTCTACGATACAGGGGAGCCGCGCACTCGTGTGCGGCGGGTCATAAAACGTATGACAAGATATTTGATATTTGTAGGTTTTGAGGTTTATATTTATATTGACCATTGTTAATGACCAGGCCCGGCGCGCGCTACTTCGTAGCACTCGAGAAGAAAGCGGCGTTGACTACTTCGAAGAAATTCAGACGAGTAACATCCGTCAAGGTTTATAACTCAACCACGTGCTACTGCGGGCGCGCTATTGCAATACAAGTGCAAGTGCTCTGAATAGAGCAAGTTAGCAATTGTAGGTTTATAACCTACCAGGACGCGCGCCGAGTTGGATTCATGGAACAGATATTTTACGAGTATCACCCGTTAATTCCAGGATGCAGGACCGTCGACGAGTCCAACTCGGCGCGCGTCCTGGTAGGTCATAAACCTACAAAAAATCTTATTGATACATGATAGGGGTCTAACTTCAGAAGTAAAAGAAATAGAAAGTTCTGGTTTTCAACAAAATGTTCGTTTTGTAAAACTAAAGTTACCTCCCGGCACCAGGAGGAAAATTAGGGACATTATAGATTTTGAATTATCGCGAAAAGTTTTATTTTCATGGTATGGGCAGTAGGGGTCGTTCACATATTACGTAATCAGCTGAGGGGGGGGGGGGGGCGGGGGGTTCCGAATGATTACGCTAGTGTAATTTTGACACAATCAACAATAGCTATGTGTAAAACTGATTACGGAGGGGCCGGGGGGGGGGGGGGGGGGGGGGGGGGGGGGGTAAAAATGTTCCAAAAAATGATTACGTAATATGTGAACGACCCCTAATAAAAGTGCGCATTTGCGGATTCTTGTTCTCTGATTATATTGGCTAAATTGTATCACGTGGTACGTGGTGCAATTGCATTCTTGGAATGTTTGAAGCGTGCAAATGCAATGAACTTACGAGCGGGGGGGGGGGGGGGGGGGGTAAAAATGTTCCAAAAAATGATTACGTAATATGTGAACGACCCCTAATAAAAGTGCGCATTTGCGGATTCTTGTTCTCTGATTATATTGGCTAAATTGTATCACGTGGTACGTGGTGCAATTGCATTCTTGGAATGTTTGGAGCGTGCAAATGCAATGAACTTACGAGCGCGCTCGGAGCTCAACAAGCTGTGAAGACGCAATTATCACCTTACCTGTAGTAATATCGCCAGCCAGTAAGGTTTGATAGATAAATGACAAATGTAGACGCGCATCATCTGTCAAATATGTCAACAGATATTCAATATCTTAAAAGAATTAAAAAAGTGTTTGCAAAACATTACAAAAGCTTTGTATAGGTGTCTCAGTTTTACAGTAATCTTATCAAAAAGACTCACGATAAAGTATATTTTTCATAATGCAATAATAACGTATATATGATTATATTATAAAATACCCTACATTCAAACAAAATTAAATTTATCAAAAATATTTTACTGAATAACTTAAACAGATTGGAAAACAAAATAAACCTTATATTAAGATGAAATCAGCGTATAATATTGCATATTGATAATATCAAATTTAAAAGCACCGGGTAAAAAATAAAGTCACTCCTTAAAGTATAACTAATAACGTACTGCTTTAGCTTGCATAAACAAGTATAGTGAAATTGTAAGGACACGTGAGCCCCAGATAATAATAGCCGTAGCGGTCTTTAGTGGCAAATGGGATGGAAAATTATTTATTTTTCAGTGATTAGATTATTATAGGAGGCTGAAATGAAAGTGGCGAAGAGTAAATAAATTGAAACCGTCAACTGTTTATATAGGATATCAAACCCTTCTTAAAATTACGATAAGGTGACATAATTATACATCTTCCGACATTGCTCGAATGAGCAAATGTCCTGGCAGATAGCAACAATTATTTAAAACACTGAACCAGCAATTCTTATCAACGCTCCAGCTGCAATCTGATACATCGTCATTAAATTATCAACTCAATCTTCTGGGGTACAATTAAACTGAATCGATAGCAGTCTCAATTTCTCACGCAATACTTCGTTTTCCGTTCGTAATCTCTCTAATTCGCAGCTATCAATCAGATCATGTCCGATTTCCCAACTTTCATCTTGATTGAGTTTAATTCTAACTCCTTGCACGTGCACTGTCTGTTGCGCGGCACCAACTTGAAGCTCCACTTGACAATCCCGCACAGTGCATTTCAAAGTGAGAGGGATACTTGCAAGAGTGGGATCAGGCTCGAAAAACACTGCTAACCCCTCCAGAGACCGGTCTCTAAGCGAGGCGATAAGACTACTGGCCTCTACCTCGCAGTTCATCTGGAGAGATTCTAAGGAAGTTGTGATATCGTCGCTCGTGACGTCACTAAAGTCATCAACAATTTGTGTTTTGTCTACCATGGTTGAAGATCTGAGAATTGGAGGTTCTACTGGGTTCAATTCTATCCTAGCATAAATCTGATGAGCGTCACTCGATTCTGAGCCACGACACCTCCACTTAGACAAAGGAAACTCCCGGGGCTTTATCTCCAAATCCTCGTCCAAAACTAGGACTCTACGACACGTGACCTTGGTAATGACATCAAGTGCAGAATGTACCGCCAACACAGCATCACCACAGTGAACCTGAATCTGATCACGTGACAAAACACCCTCACTAGATAGACCCTCACTGATAAGTTTAGCGCTCACTGCGTGCAGTTGCTGGTAGTTGTGCGCGACTAAGCTGTCCTCCGTGGTGGTTTGGACCCCCACTGACAAAGTCTCTTTCTTCTTGCTTACTCGAGTGATGAACTTGAGGAGTGTCTCTTTGGTGTCTCCTTTAGCTAGGGGATTTAGTTCGTTGGTGATGGATGAGATGCTGAGAGCGTCTTCCTCTGACTGCAGAGACAATCTCTCTGAAAAGTAAAAGTTTAGTTAAGGTACGTCATTATTGCATGCATACGGAATTTTCCATACTTGATAAAGTTCTTCTTTTATTATCTCCCACATTCCAAACTTTACATTTTGCAGAAACCGTACATTGACATAACATGGAAACAATTGACAAACCAGAAAGAGAGGCTATAGTCGAGTCGGATCTGCTGAGAACAATCCAGTTTAATTTGTTTTTTTGATCATTCTCGGGTGTATCAGTTCTCTCCAGTAAGACTATGTCTTCTTCCGCTAGAAAAGATTCTCGACATCTGGGAAGAAAGTGATCTGGTTAGTAATTATCCTAGTTAGTGATGGATATAACATATGTTATTGCTATAAAGTGTATGTATTGATTTATATCCATACTATACTATGTTTTCAACTTGACGAAATCCCCCTGCAGCCTGCGCCCTGCAACCGGATTAAAAAGCAAACAATTTACCAAAAAGTAAACCAATTTTAGCTCGCAGATGGAGTTAAAATCTCGCGATTTTTAGCACGATTGTAAATAATATAATCATCTTATAATTTTGATTTATGCCTCGGATTATTTGCAGGACCCACCCAATAGAAGGACTATCACTAGTCAGGTGACTAAGACTAGTACTAGCAGTGTCGGGAGGAGAAGTTGACAGGGAGGGGATGTAGGGGCGAGGAGGCTCCGGGAGAGCGATGTCTAACATCAGGTGGTTCAGAAGGGCTAACATCTTGAAACACGAGCTGTCCTGTGGGGACATGTCACGTGTGAGGTGTTGTCACGTGTTAGGTGTTGTCACGTGTTAGCTGTTGTCACGTGTTAGGTGTTGTCACGTGTTAGCTGTTGTCACGTGTTAGGTGTTGTCTAGTTTCATAATTATTACAATTATTGTAATTATTACATAATTATTAGTTTATATGGACAAGCTAGGTAAGTCATGGAATCTAAAAACGAACCAAATATATCTGACCTGAACGCTAGAAGTAAATATTTGAGTAACGGAGAGGATTACCTGAACGCTAGAAGTAAATATTTGAGTAACGGAGAGGATTATCTGCTCTACAAAACTTGTCATCTCCTGGTTGAGTCGGAGAAGGAACAGGTACTGTTCTCTATCCAGCGTGCAGTGAATCTGGGGTGTTTCTAGTTTTACAACACAGACTTAGTGAATATGGGTTGTTTCTAGTTTTACAACACAGACTTAGTGAATCTGGGGTGTTTCTAGTTTTACAACACAGACTTAGTGAATCTGGGGTGTTTCTAGTTTTACAACACAGACTTAGTGAATCTGGGGTGTTTCTAGTTTTACAACACAGACTTAGTGAATCTGGGGTGTTTCTAGTTTTACAACACAGACTTAGTGAATCTGGGGTGTTTCTAGTTTTACAACACAGACTTAGTGAATCTGGGGTGTTTCTAGTTTTACAACACAGACTTAGTGAATCTGGGGTGTTTCTAGTTTTAAAACACAGACTTAGTGAATCTGGGGTGTTTCTAGTTTTAAAACACAGACAATAGTGAATCTGGGGTGTTTCTAGTTTTACAACACAGACTTAGTACTAGTGAATATATTTCATTTAGTTATCAGTGAATTAATTTGAGCTCATTTAATCAGTGCGCCTAACAAGGTATGTAAATTAGTTTACCCCTATTCCCAGGACCTGCTCGTTACTCATGAATATAAATAGATTCCCTGAATTAATTTACTGAAGTTAATTATAATTTTTCCGTATGAGATGTAATTCTGTGGGAATAGGGCCGCAGGTCTTACATGTGGTATATTTATACAGAAACAATCAATGAGGAACGAAGATTAACTAATCTTTCCTTACCGCTGAGGACACAATCACCGCATTCAATGATCAAATCATTCATTGGGTAAAGAATGTCACCTTGAGAAGAAACTGTCATTTCAGAAACATTTCAGGCAACTGACTCGTGGAAAAGATATTTGTGATTCGTGGATATATTTATATTTATAAGATATTTGTAAAGATATTTCTGTACATTTCTAATCTTTGCAACTCTGCTATTATTAGATCAGTGCTAACCAATCACTATTATATATTTCATTTAGTTTATAGCGTCCTCGTTGAATTAAGTTTATTTATTACAAGTAAACGATTAAATTCTTTATTTGAACCGCATCATAGCGGCATCATTCGTTTGATCGCTCGTTTTTACCATTAATTTGCGGTGGATTTGATAATTGAGGCGATTATTTTACGTATTTAACGTCTTCGTTTGTTAGTGGTCTTATTAAAATTAGTCTGAGAGTCTTCTCATAGGGTCATTATTTCCATCTTTTGATTATCTTAATTAGTATAGCTACTTTTTACTTTCAATACAGAATCAGACATGATTTCTCGCATGCTAAATTATACCATAAACAAAATAGAAATAGTAAATAATACAGACAAATCCGTCGGTAAATTTCGATTTACCGAAACAACGAGCTTTCAGATAATTTTGACGTTTTTGAGTTCCATTTACCATTAACAAATTTTGCGATCATAATATAAATATTACGGAGTTATTACAGCTCAAGATAAGAGATAGATAAGAGATAAGAGATAAGAGATAGATAAGAGATAGATAAGAGATAGATAAGAGATATAGATAAGAGATAGATAAGAGATAGATAAGAGATAGATAAGAGATAGATAAGAGATAGATAAGAGATAGATAAGAGATAAGAGATAGAAATAAAAACTCACAGATTTAGAGCACTTCATGAGGAGCAAATAATCAGTAGCCAGGGAGGTGATTGTGTCCTGCCTCCGTAGTGTATTTCTAGTTAGCTTCCTGTGTCCGTTCTCCACAATAACGTCACTGGGCGTGGTCGTGACGTCATTAGCAGCGATCTCCTCGATCATCCACATGTGGAGAGGTATGTCTGATATGAATCTCCGAGACCTGGTGGTGTTGTGAGGTTAGAAAATTAGAAATCGTTTGATCAAGCATTTAATTAATTGGGATAATGTGTTCTTTAAACTGTTGTTTGAGTTTGGTGAAATGTGTTCTTTATGTTGTTTTAATTTGGTGAAAACTGTACAGTTAATCCTGTCTTGTTAGCGGATAATTTTCAGAATAACATCTCTTAACACCACAACCATAAGACCCTGCCCACCTGTGTTTCTCCCCGGAGTTATTATCTGTGTTATAGAGAAAGTCAGCACTGAAGCTGTCGAAAGTGAAGCCGAGTACCAGGTTGTTGAGGAGTGGGAACAAGTCGGGGAGGGAGGAGAGAGGGGAGCCGGCTAGGTGGGTGTCTGATATATTCACACTGCTGATACTGCTCCTTCTGTAGGGGGTTCTCTGTCTTACACATTTCAAATTGGGTGTACTAACAGTAAACAAACTTTAATCGTATCCACTTAAAATTCTTGGTTGTCTCATTAAGTCATTACATACATGATACAATGTATGTATAATATATCCAGGATATAAGGAACGATAATGAAGTTATAACTCCTAATAATGAACTAATTGCTGCTAGTTGCTCCTAATAATGAACTAATTGCTGCTAGTTGCTCCTAATAATGAACTAATTGCTGCTAATTGCTCCTAATAATGAATTAATTGCTGCTAATTGCTCCTAATAATGAACTAATTGCTTCTAGTTGCTCCTAATAATGAACTAATTGCTGCTAGTTGCTCCTAATAATGAACTAATTGCTGCTAGTTGCTCCTAATAATGAACTAATTGAGCTGCTAGTTGCTCCTAATAATGAACTAATTGCTGCTAATTGCTCCTAATAATGAATTAATTGCTGCTAGTTGCTCCTAATAATGGACTAATTGCTTCTAGTTGCTCCTAATAATGTACTAATTGCTGCTAGTTGCTCCTAATAATGAACTAATTGCTGCTAGTTGCTCCTAATGATGAACTAATTGCTGCTAATTGCTCCTAATGACCCCCTAATTAATTAACTAACCTGCTCTGAGGAGTGCTGGGCAGCTCAGGAGATATATTGTGACCAGGAGAGTTGTTAGCGCTGGGGGAAGGGGAGGAGTTTACAGGGATACCGGCGTATACAAGGTTACGCCGCTGTCTGCTCTTTTCTTCTTGCATTTCTTGCTTTAGCTAGTGTGAGGATTGATTAGCTATTTAGATGATTATTGTATAATTTAGATGGGTTATTTCTTTAGTGGAGAAGTGAGTTTATTGTTAAGTGAATTCTTACAGTTACGATCGGGTAAAAGTTTATAGAAGTATTAGAGATCCCAGCATGGGAGCAGGACTATTGAGCGGTGGACTGTTGAGCGTAGGACTGTAGGTCGGTGAAGGTCGGAAGTAGGACTGTAGAGCGGTGTCAAATCGCCAGGGTAGGACTCTAGAGCGGCCACCCTTATAGATCTCACAACATGAGGACTTTAGAGCGATACGATCCTAAAATGAGGACTGTAGAGCGGTGGACTGTTGAGCGGTGGACTGTACGCCGGTGAAGGTCAGAAGTAGGACTGTAGAGCGGCCCTCTCTTATAGATCCCATAACATGAGGACTCTAGAGCGGTACCCTCCTATAACATGAGGACTCTATAGCGGTTGAAAATTTGAAGATTGAACACTCAACGAAGCTAAGTTATACATTGTAACTCGTGATTGATTATGGTCATGACATTCTAAGATGATAACTTTATTAAAGAGTCATGGAGTTAATGAACATTTTCATTTACTTATTATAAATATTTCATTATTATAAATATTTCATTACTAATATTATAGTGTAACTTAATTTAAGATTATTGGTCGGTCTCAACGTCTTCCAAATGATTGAAATATTCCCCTGCTACTCGAAAATGTAAAACGTGTCTTCGGTATTTTAGTGAACTGTTCGTATCAATGTGATTTCGCTAAGCAGAGTACCGATCAAGTTCGTGCAGATCATTTAGGAATGAGGATCGCATCGCGTGACGCTTAAGCGCCTACTAATCTGGTGACGGGACTGATTCAGATCAGATCCCATCGCAGTGCGATATCTTGTTAGGCTTTCGAAGGTATGGTATAAATATCACGGAGTATCCAGTTTTTGTATATCAAATTCGATTAGGAGCTCGAAGTATGATGGGACAACATCGTCGACTGGGAGGAAAGCAAGCTGCATGAGTCTCCGTATCCACACACGAACAGGACCAGGAGTCCAGAAATTGGTAAGGGGGTTGTTGATACCATCGTCGTAGGACTTCTTGAGTCCGTTCTCCCGCACCCATCTCAGGACTGCCTGGCAGAAGTGGAAGTAGCAACCGTCCACCACTGCTGTGATATTTATGCCATACCTTTGAAATCCTAACAAGATATCGCACTGCGATGGGATCTGATCTGAATCAGTTCCGTCACCAGATTGATGAACATGAGATATCCTTAGTAGGCGCTAAAGCGACACGCGATGCGATCCTCATTCCTAAATGATCTGCACGAACTTGATCGGTACTCTGCTTAGCGAAATCACATTGATACGAACAGTTCACTAAAATACCGAAGACACGTTTTACATTTTCGAGTAGCAGGGGAATATTTCAATCATTTGGAAGACGTTGAGACCGACCAATAATCTTAAATTAAGTTACACTATAATATTAGTAATGAAATATTTATAATAATGAAATATTTATAATAAGTAAATGAAAATGTTCATTAACTCCATGACTCTTTAATAAAGTTATCATCTTAGAATGTCATGACCATAATCAATCACGAGTTACAATGTATAACTTAGCTTCGTTGAGTGTTCAATCTTCAAATTTTCAACCGCTATAGAGTCCTCATGTTATAGGAGGGTACCGCTCTAGAGTCCTCATGTTATGGGATCTATAAGGGAGGGCCGCTCTACAGTCCTACTTCCGACCTTCACCGGCCTACAGTCCACCGCTCAACAGTCCACCGCTCAACAGTCCACCGCTCTACAGTCCTCATTTTAGGATCGTACCGCTCTAAAGTCCTCATGTTGTGAGATCTATAAGGGCGGCCGCTCTAGAGTCCTACCCTGGCGATTTGACACCGCTCTACAGTCCTAATTCCGACCTTCACCGACCTACAGTCCTACGATCAACAGTCCTCCGCTCAATAGTCCTACAGCCCCCAGCATATACATTATACATATAAACTATACTTGGAACTTGAACAAGAATGACAATAATTTCGATTGATTGAATACACTGAGAAACAGTTAATAACTATTCAAATAACGGAAAATTCGTTATTGTCGAATAATTAATTCGTTAAAATTGTCTAATAAAATTAAAGATAACACACCTTCTCATGACGGGTCAGTTCCTCCAAAATCCCAGGAATAAGGTCCTGGTTGTGGATGTGGGGTAAAGGAGAGGGGTCCTGAGGTTTGCTGGGGAACTGGGAGGGGTCTGATACTATGGAGCATTCCAAACATTCTTGTAGGAGTGTGAGCAGAGGTAGGTACATTCTGGGATACGAGAGAATTACGTAACAGTAGCAGTACATTGGTGTTACAATTGGTGTTACAGTGTAACTAGTGATTCTAAAGTTTATCTTTGGGCAATTTCGTAATCTGTCGATGGATACATACATCACGGTTGATTGACGCAAGATATTAAAAGCACATACTAAAATGCTATTTAACCTCGCTAATTAGTTAATCCTCGCTCACCGCCATGTTCTTTTGTATTTCATAAGACTAAGAAGTGTACTGTTCATTTATCAACCGTGTATTTACCAGATACAAATCGTGCTTCAAGGTTTGTTCACTTACCGTGCCGTAACCATTTTGTATGTATCAACCGTGGGTTGAGTAACCTTTTAATGTGTGTCAAATGTCCATCGACAGATTACCAAGTTGCCGGAAGAAATTTATTTTGCTCATGTAAAAGTTCTAAAGTTCGAAAGGAAGGATCACCTCTCACGCGTTACATATAACGCGTTAGAACTCACGCGTTATTCAGGTTAGAAACAGTCAATTTGGAGAACCACAGTTGCACGCCCTTTATCTGTTCATCTTCAACAGGTTCGCTCGCAGTAAGTGGTATGGTTATGTGCGGTAGTACTAACGTAACTTTTAGTCTGTAGTTTGCTGTACTCTCTCCCTTGCTCAACTCCGTCAACTGAATAAAATCTGTTACTTGGCTCGTATAATATAGTAACATACCAGTCAATGCCAATGATGATACGCGAATGTTG